AAATTTTAGCCCCAGCTCAGATCTACTTAACCAGAAATTATGAAACTAGATGACAATGATCTATTTGAACAAACCCCTGAAGAGATTTTTTTTTTTGAAGAGGTTTTTGCTATAAGGCGTGTGCACTCGCCAGACAGAGACAGACAGAGAGACAGAAAGCGAGAAATCACCCCCCGGGGGTATAGCCATGCCGCAATCCCTTCTTCTCCATTTTCCTCTCGGGATCTCGGGCGTGCATGCACACACACTCAGCGTGAGTTTTAAGCCACCGGGTTGGGGACACAAACTGCGGTCGACTACATGGGAGTCCAGCGACAGCCATTACGCTAACTGCTGGTCCCGAGATTCTTAGAACCACTGTGCAAGACAATTATCAAAATAAAAAGACAATGATTTTTAAAAATTAAAATAAACCAATCTTAAATTTAATAATAGTAAACAAAGATTTACAAAACCCTATATGAAAACCCTTTCTAAAATTTCTATTTCAAAAAACGAAATATAAAATTACCATCTTTTTACTGCTTTTCAACACAAGTGCCAAGAACATAAAATAATGGGGAAAGGATAATCTCAACAAATGGTGTTCAAAAATTAGATATTCACATGACAAGGAATGAAACTGGACCCTTATCTTATACCATACACAAAAATGAACTCTAAATGAATTAATAACTTAAACAGAATGCCTAAACTGTAAAACTCCTAAAAGAAAATATGCCAAAAAAAGCTTCATGACACTGATCTTGGCATATGACACCAAACACACTTGTCTATTTGAAAAGTGGGACTACTAAAAAGGTACATACAGACAAGGCAATAATCAGTGGAGCAAAAAGGCAACCTACAGGGTGCCAACCTGGTCAGCACTGAGACCAATAAAATCAGGATTTTATTTGATTTTTCAGTCCAAGCATAGGGTGAGAAAAATATTTGCAAACCACATATCTGAATATCTGATAAGGACTTTATTTCCAGGGTATATATGAAACTCCTACCATACAACAGCAGGAAAAAAATTTTTGATTAGAAAATGGGCAAAGGACTTAAACATTTCTCCAAAGAAAACATACAAATGGTCAACACATTCATGAGAATATGCTTAATATTACTAGTTACCAGACAAGTATATATCAAAATCACGATGAGATATCACCTCACTCCTATTAGATGACTATTATCAAAAATACAAAAGACAAATATTGGTGAAGACATGGAAACAGTGGAACCCTTTATTGCATTGGTGAGAATATGAAACAATACAGCTGCTATGGAAAACAGTATAAAGCTAACTCAAACAATTAAAAACAGAATTACCATTTGATAAATAAATCCCATTTCTGGAAATTTATCCAAAAGAACTGAAATTAGGATCTTGGACAGACATTTGCTCTCCATGTTCATTGCAATTGTATTCACAATAATCAAAATAAGGGAACAGTCCAAATGTTCATCAACATGAACTTTGATGAGTAGATAAAAAGAGTATGTTGTAGGGAACCAGCAATTAGCGTAATGGCTATGTCGCTGGACTCCCACGTAGTTGACCGCGGTTCGTGTCCCGGACCCGGTGGCTTAAAACTCACGCCGGGCGCGTGTGCATGCGTGCCCAAGATCCCGAGAGGAGAATGGAGGAGAAGGGATTGCGGCGTGACCATCCCCCCGGGGGGTGATTTCTCGCTTTCTGTCTCTATGTCTCTCTCTGTCTGTCTGGCGAGCGCACGCACCCTACAGTGAAAATCTCTCCAAAAAAAAAAGAGTATGTACACAGACACACACACACACACACACACACGAATATCATTCAGCCTTAAAAACAAAGAAAGAAAACGTTCATCAACATGAACGTTGATGAGTACATAAAAAGAGTATGTTGTACACACACACACACACACGAATATCACTCAGCCTTAAAAACAAAGAAAGAAATACTTATATATGTGAAAACATTATGGCTAAGTGAAACAAGCCAGTCACAGGATAAATACTGTGATTATTTCACTTAAATAAAGTACATAAAATAGTCAAACTCATGGCTTCAAGGGGCAGGAGCAGAGGAGGGAAGTTTGTTCAATGGGTTAAAGTTTCATTTATATAAGATGAATAAGTTCTAGAAATTGGCTGTACAGCATTGTGCCTACAGTTAACAATACTGGATTGTACACTTAAAATTTTATTGAAAGAATAAATCTTATGTTAATTATTTTTATCACAATAAAAAAAGAAAAATAGCATTATGAGCTCATAATTCTACTCCTAGATATGTATGCCAAAGAATTGAAAGCAGAGACTCAAACAAGTGTACACTAATGCTCACAGGAGCATTGTTCACAGTAGTCAAAAGATGGACCTACGTGTCCATCAACAGATTAAATGATAAATAAGATATGCATAAAATACAATAGAATATTACTCAGCCATAAAAAGAAGTAGAATTCTGATACACACTCCAGTTGTAGATGAACTACAAAAACATTATGCCAATTTAAGTAAGCCCAACACAAAAAGACAAATGCTGTAGGATTCCACTTACACGAGGTTCCTCAACTAGGCAAATTCATACAAACAGGAAGTAAAGCAGAGGTTAACAGAGATTAGAGGGGAGGGAAAATAGAGAATTACTGGTTAATAGATACAGAGCTACTGTTTAAGATAATAAAAAGTTTTGGAAATGGATAGTGATCATATTTGATTGTGAATATACGTAATGCCACTGAACTGTATGCTTAAAAAGAGCTAAAATGGTGAATTTTGTTATATATATTTTACCACAATAAAAACTCAAACTATATACATACATGTTACTTTAGGAAAATGTCTATCTAAGTCCTTTGCCCAAAAAGTAGAGAGAAGTGATAGTCCCTAAGTGATCTGAGATGGAAAATGAAGAACTGGGCAGTAAGCTGCTATGATATTTTAACATGTTTAATACGATTTAGGTGGGGCTTTCAGAAATTAGCTTTCCTAGAGTCTTGGGTCTTCAGATATCAAATCACTTAGAAGTAAATCTAAAAAACCAAGTTGCTTTGTCAAAAGTTCTTTCTCATGTCAATGCTAAGCTCAGAAGTTACCTCCTCTAAGAAACTGTCTTGACACCTACAGTATCAACTTAGTGCTTTTCTTTGACATTTCTTCAGAATTCCACCTACCTCTACAGTATCACCCAACACAGATGGTAGTATGGTCTATTAACCCAAGTAGACTATAAGCTTCTTGAAGACAAGTATCATCATTCATGCTCCAATACTTACTCTGGACTTCATCAATTAACAAACAAATAAGTAAGTGAAAGAGGAAGTGAATGAATAAATGAGTACATAAACAAACGATGGTCCCAAAAGTCTAGAATCCACTAGGATTGCATATAACATTTTGTGCTTACCTGAGTTTTCTAGAGAGAAGATCTATGCCTTTTATTGAATTCTCAATGGGATGCAAGACCTCCCCAATTTGTTTAAAACCACTGGTGTAGAGAATGCAACATAACGAGGGAAGAACTAGGTGATTTTCCATCTACAGCCGCTGGCAAGTATTTCAAGCAGATCAAATAAGAGTAACAGATGACAGTACACTGCGGAAAAAAGCAATACAGGAAATCAGGCAGAGTTTACCTCATGGGATCTGCTTCATCAACTGACCATTCCTCTTTTATTTCTTTATATTCAATTTTTTAATTTTATAAAAACAAATTAATTCTCTGGTCATTATTGTGATTTCCATTCAGCAAACTCTAACTAGACCAGCTACTTCCTGCTTTTAAAATTTTCAAGAAAGAATTTGTGTCTGCAGCACCTGAATCCTCTGCCGAGGGAAGAGCCTGGTATTGATCCAAATCACATTAAATTCAGCAGACATTATGAGGTTGTACTGCGTAAAAGAGGCCCAAGGTACACAGATGGTTCTGCCACAGCCTTTGAGGAACTCATAGTTTTATGGGAGAGAAAGATAATTCTCTATTCAAATCCATGCCAAGTAATCAAAGAAATCAAAATTAAAAGTGAGAAACATCTTTGAACTCATATTTTTGATGAGGATATTGGGGACTGGGATCTTCGTGACACTGTGCTAATAATACTTACCATGTATTATTCTACCCTACCCTGCCGAGGCTAAGTGGTAGCTTACCCCACCACTTAACGATCCAGTTCCTGGCCATATATCCCAGGAAATTATAGAGGGTCTTAAGAGGACTTAGCAAAGTTCTTTCCCAAGGCTTCTGGAATGTTCTGTTTTTCCTCCTCCCACTTACAGAGAATTTGCTAGAAACACTGGTTTACAATGTGATGCCACACAGGAAAGAATTTGGAACGTAATGCCCTCACGGTAGCCACACCACCTAGTCCTTCAATTCCCATCTCAAACCTTAGTTCGCTGTTTCCAAAGGGGCAGTTACTTGGACAGGAAATCTTCCCTAGATCCTGAAGACAGAAAATTCGGAAACGTGGCCCTAGAGGCAACAGGTTTCTAAGCCACCACCACATGAAAATCAGAACAAAAAACCTGGTAATTAACCTAACAAGCCTATTTCATCTAGTCCTTCGCCCTCAATGTGTTAAATGCTTAGGGCCATCTCAAGGAAAAGGATCTAGGGATTCCATTTTGTATTTTCTCCTTGAGGCTCAACTTTAATTCAGGAGGGCTACCGACCTCGGAAGACGCGAAGCTGAAGAGCTCAAGGGGAAGCTGCCATTGTACACGGAGGTTTTGAAAGCAGAAACGAAATATGACTCCGTGTAGGTAAATAAAGTATCACTACAGTCCTACTTACTAGCAAATGCCCTGGCCAAGCTGCTTCAACACCTCAGCTCAGGTCGGCGAAGGCGGCTACCGAGGGTGGCGGGGCGGGCACGTGACCGGGCGTGCCAAGATGGCGGCGGGCCCGACGCTGGCCTCTCGCTCCTCAGCCTCCGGCGCGGGGCCTCGGCGCGGAGGGAGTAAGCGTGTTGCGGCGGGTACCGGCTACCGGTGTGGGTCAGCCGCGGACGCTATGCGGTGGAAGGCCGTGCTGGCCGAACGTCAGCACAACCGTAGGCGCATCTTTTCTGACCCAGACGGTCCTGGAGCAAAACGAGCTACATCCGTCCTGACCTGGGACACAGCTGGGCAGGAGCGAGCTCGTGTCCTAGCTCCGATGTGCTACCGAGGGTCAGCTGCGACCGTCGTGATCCGTGACCCGTCGGATATCACGAAAGAAGAGACGTTTTCGACACGAACAGTCGGGCCAAACAGCGTGCCTGCAAGGCTAGCCAGGTATGGGGGTTGCCACCCAGGAAGTAAGTACGACTTCAGGGACGTAAGAGAAGCAAGGTGGAGAGAAGCTGAGGACTGCGCCGACTCCACCCGCTGCAGTCGTCTTGGACACCAGCGAAAAAAACGCGGTGAAGTGAAAAAAAAAAAAAAATTTTTTTTTGAGAGGTTTTTGCTCTAGGGCGTGTGCGCTGGCCAGAAAGAGAGAGAGAGACAGAGAGAAAGCGAGAAATCACCCCCTAGGGGGCATAGCCATGCCACAATCCCTTCTCCTCCATCCTCCTCTCAGGATCTTGGGCATGCATGCACACAAAGCGTGAGTTTAAGCTACTCGGTTTGGGACTGGAACCATGGTCAACTGCATAGGAGTCCAGCGACCTAACTTTCACACCAACTGCTAGCTCCGAAAAACTTCCATTTATGTTCCTTAAGTAGAAGAATTTTATCCAAGGACGCCACCTTGCGATCTGGAGACGAGGACCTCAAAACTCTGCAGACAGGTACCAGCAGTTAGCATAATGGCTATGTCGCTGGACTCCCATGTAGTCGGCGGCGGTTCAAGTCCCGGACCTGGTGGCTAAAACTCAGGCCGGCCATGAGTACGTGCGTGCCCATGATCCCGAAAGGAGAATGGGGGAAAAGGGATTGCGGCGTGGCCATCCCCCCTAGGGGGGTGATGGCTTGCTTTCTGTCTCTCTGCTTCTCTTTCTGGTGAGTACATGCACCCTATAGCAAAAAACCTCTCAAAAAAAAAAGAAAGAAAGAAAAGAAAAGAATTCTGGTGTACAAGGGACTACTAACTACATCATTGGCTTTTGACTTTGCTGAAAAGGAAAGTGTAATTGTATGGATAATAGTTGAGTCGTTTTGTAATTTAAAAAAAATAAGAAAACAACCTGTGTTCCTCTCTAGAACTTACCTTCTAGCTCATAGAGCTGTTGTGAGGAACAAATAAAATAATTATGAAGCATTGCCGATGGTTATTAGCCGTTATTCACAGCATTTTTCATTTTCTTTTCCAATAAAATTTATTAAACCCTTTTATGTTCAATGAACTAGCTGCTGGAAATAAAAACTAGACATAAAATTAGAATTTTTATAACTGGGCAATAACTTAGATTATCAGTCTATTATTTTCCAAATCAAATCTTATTTGTAACACACACACAAAAAAAAAAAAAGTAAAAAAATAGTAAGAACTGCTCTAGCAGAAGAGGTTAATGGAGAGAGCTGCCCTGTTGCCCTACCCTGAAAACCCTGGGGCACCACAGAGCATGTTTGAAAAACACATCTAATGTCTTCATGAGAACTGTGGGACTCAGTGGTGTGACTGTTCAAGTTTATACAGCTAATCACAAACTGTCTGGGCTAAAAGCTAAATCTCCAGTATTAAGGAATTTACCAACTATCTGTAGAAACGTTATGCAAGGCCAGCCTGTGGCCTGATTGTTAAAGCCTGATCCCACATAGCTGCAGTTTGAGTCCCAGCCCCCTGAAGCTTGAAAAACATGTTGGGCATGTGTGCATGCCCAAAATTCCAGTGGGATGGAGAGATAGAGAAAAAGGGATTGCAGTGTGACCACAAGAAAGTGCTGTGTGTCAGCCCCCACGGGGGGGGGGGGGGGGGGGCTTTTTCATTAACTCTATCTCTTTCTCACGCTCGCACATGTAAGTGCATAAGCTCCTGTGTCTTCTGTGACTCCCACGTGGCTGATCGTAGTTTGAGTCCCAGATCTCCAGATCTGGCAGCTTGAAACTTGTGCCGGGCGCATTCACATGTGCTTGCATGCCCAAAATCCCGGAGGAAAATGAAGGAGAAGTGACTGTGGCATGGCCATCCCCCCTTGGTGGGGAGAGCGATTTCTTGTTTTCTGTCTCTCTGCTTCTCTCTGTCTCTCCAACAAGTATATGCACCCTATAGCAAAACCTCTCTAAAAAAATTTTTTTAATTAAAAAAATATATGTATACATGCTAGACAATGGAAGAAAATTTAGGGGCTAAGTTTTTCAAGTTGTATTACCAAAGCCTGGGCCAAATCCCTTACCCATTCAATTTCTCTACTGAACTTTCTGTTCTTGGTAACTTATGCATCCATTTCTATTACCATAAAGAAAACTGATCATTTATGAGCTTTATGATTCCCATACCAGTTTTTGTTTGTGTTTTGGTTTTGAGAGAGACAGAGAGAGAGAGACAGCACCCCCAGTAGGTCTTGCTACCATGATCCAGTCTCAGTCAGCTCTGAATCATGGGAACACATGCACCCAGTAGACTCAGCGAGATCCCTGGATATGAAGCGGGAACATTTCCATGGGGGTCAGTCTCACAGGATGTCATGTGTTACCACAGCACCAATATCCACTCCTCTTACCCTTACCTCTTTGTCACTGAATATTTTTATTAACTTGTGGATTGTTCTAAATTTATACCCTACATAAAATTAAAATACAAACATATTGGCATTGTAGTTTAAAAAGATCATCTAAGGTAAAATAGCATTATGTAATTTGAAAATAAATAGCAAAAAATCAGAAATTGATTTCCATTATTTATCTTTCTGTGCTTTGAATGATAAAGCATATATCACTTTTATGTAGCTCTACAGCTTTATTTTTTAAAAAGTTTATAAAGAAATATTTCAAGTATACAAAATAAGCTCTACTTGCCCTGTCCAATGCCTAATCCAGAGCAGGGCAGAATGGCACAAACAGTTGACTTATAAAATGCAGTTTTCTCCCAGTGTCAGGATTAAAGATTAAATTATTTTGAATATCAAAATTTTCATAACTTTCTGCTAGGGCAGGAACAAGCAAAAGGAACTGCAACATACTTCCATACTCCATACCATGACCTAAGTTAGATTAACCTACCACTTTGTCTATGCTTAAGACCAGTCACAAAAGAATGTTCTGCCCCAGACTATAGATGAGACCCTTAGACACCCTGACATGTGACCTCACCAATAGAGAGGTCTATAATTGATTAATAATGTCTGCCATGGGCTCAGAAACAAAAAGTAGTGTAACTCATTTTGCATATTATTATGCTGGCTTGATGCCTTCACACCTTATAGATTCTCTCAAATTTAATCTTGATACTGCATTAGCTTTTCTTGGAAAAATCCTATGACATTCTAGTCTTTATTTCTTTTTTTAATGTATTTATTTTAATTCATTCACTGAACATCATCACAGCATACAAAATGCCGTTTCCCATCCAGATTACACTGTATAGTGGCTTAGATTTATATGTTATCATCAACAAATGATTTTCCATTTCTTGTTTCATGTATTTATACACACATATTTTTCTACATTTCAAATACTATTTAAAAGGACTCAAGTGAAAATAGAGATGGTCTTCAACCAGAGCACAGAGCAGATCAAGTAGGGGTTCACCCCCTCTCTCAACATTCCTCCTCCTCCCCACTCTGGACAGGCAAGGGATTCTTGCCCAACGTATACATTCAACACAAAGGAAGATGAAGACCTGGGTCCTGCTGGCAAGATTTATAGTCTACTAGTTTAAAAATGAAAATACTAGCCCTTTAAAGGGAATAAACAATTCAGGTAAAAATATTCAATGTCAAATGAGTTGAGTAAATTGTGAGTACAATGGGAGTTTAGACCATGGGGAAATCATTGCTAGTATTTAGAAGAGACCAGAGCAAGAGAGAGAGAAGATGAGGTGAATATTAAAGAGCATCAAGAATTGGGTATAGAGAGAAAAAAGGGAGAATGTTCCAGATAGGGGAAAATGAGTGAACAAAGGACCTAAAGGAAAAAAATGACAAGAGGCAAGAAGAAAGACTTGCCTGAGCAGACCTAGGTTGTTTGATTGGGAATTGAGGCCAAACCATGAATGGTCTTAAATATTAGAGTGAAAATTTGCTCTTGAACCTTTTCCCTTTAATCCCTAAGTGACACAATCTGATGAAGTAATTCATAAGCAGGTGTAAATGACAGATGCCTTCCCTCCTCATCCTCAGATAATCCAGAATGAAAAATTTATCTTTCCTATTCCATACAAAATCCCATCTATTTATAGTAGCTGCACGGAAGATTGTTTTGAAAAAGATTTTAAGGTCACATCTGAGAACATCATGAGTGTTTTGATTAATTATTGGTATCTGTCAAGGACAAAAACAGAAAAAAAATTGCAGTAATAATGGCAGTGCAGATGCTTTGCACTTGCCAACCTTGCTTTATTCAAAATAGATGACTATAAGGGTGAGAAATTCAGGCATCAAGGCTGCTTAATGGAGATAGTATTGTGGAACTGTGGAATAGCAGAGGCTTACAAGTCCTGCAAGTTAGGTTAACCACTCACTTTGCCTATCCTTAAGACCAGTCCCAAAAGAATGTTCTGTCTCAGACTATAGGTGAGAACAATAGATACCCTGACATGTGGCCTCAGCAACAGAGAGTTCTCTAATTGATTAGTAATGTCTGCTGTGGGCTCAAAAACAAGTAGAGTTACTTGTACTGCATATTTACTATGTCTATCTTTGTCAAAAGGAAGTACACTAAAAGTATTTCAGGTTTCAGAGCTATCTCATGTAAGAAATTAGGTGGTTTGGTTTGGTTTGGTTTAGTTTGGCTTAGCTTGGATTAGGGAAGATATATTTTTCAGTTTACATAACCAACTTAACAGGTACTCATCCTATGTAAAAGACTAGCCTCAAGTGGATGTTGTCCCCAGAAAGAATATAAGACAGGACCATCACATCCACCTATCACAGAGTTCAGGGATTTTAAAACCTTCAGTCATGACAGTTTTCTTTATCTTAACCTGTTTCTTTGGTGAGACCTATCCAGTATTTACAAACTTGCTATCTATGTCTGCCAAGTATTTCGGTGCCAATCAGTCCTCACAGGTAGCTTCCCACCCTGATCTCTGATCATACTGCCTCTAATTTTCCCTTCTGTTGGAAGCCCTTCATCTCCTTCCCTACCACACTCCTGGGAAAGATGGAGTTTGTTGGCAGAGAGAGCCATTTTTT